TAGTAGCCCGTGTTGGAAAGAAAGTCCTTTATGGCAGCAGAGAGAGGTTAAAGCATATCCCCGTTTTACGCGACAAAGTGCAAATTATTATCAAATTGTCAGTTGTAAACATTCATTAGATGTTTGATTCATTGATTCTGCGGCACTACTTTCTGGTACTGTTCTTAGTTTACAAGTTACAATATACCTATTCAGAGACTGAATGGTACATTTTTACTTTTTGGTGATATTTTCATGAATTTTGAGGTTTTCTAGTTTGCACTTATTCCTTTTGTCTGATCAGCCAAAGTTGCTGCTCATGCCACCTGCCCAGTTCTTTTACTTTTGTATTTCATAAAGTGTTTTTCCCAATTAATTGATTAATCATTTGAACTAGAAAATGGGATAACCCATATTTTTGAATATGTATAATCAGCGCTTGAAGTGCTCCAGTATGCACCAGGACCATTGGGGGGCCGTGCATTTTTGACCTGGGCCTTCAGCGGGGACTTACCCGACTTAATTCACCACTATCACATCACAATTATAGAAACCATCAATACTATACAAAAACGCAATATAATAAAGTGTGGCATGACAGAGAGAGAGGTATTTCGCGTATTGAGGGTGAATGCCATTTTTACTAAAGCAAGAAACCCAGTTAAGACAACTCCAAACCTCTACGCTACAACCGCAACTATGCCAGGTTCATCATCCGGAGCAGTTCAGAATCAATATTTATCTAATTTTCCAAAACATCACAGAGTTCATCATGGTGAGACATGAGTATGGCATGACCCCTCTGTCTGCGTCTGAAGTGACTGGGAGTATCACTTTTACAATCCTCTGGAATATGGAACTATGGAAACTGAAATCTGATTGGACAAAAAATCTAACATCCACATACACGTACTGGAAGCGGTGCAGCCAAGAGAAATACTACGAAATGAAGAGAACAGACTGTTGGGAATAAATTCATACAATCTCATGGAACAAATATTAGAATTTAGGTTGTAAATGTAGGTCAGTGCTTCTGATAGTGTTTAGGCCAGCAGTGAAGGCCTTGCTGGCCCTGCCGGCCCACCACTGACCAGAACACAGTACTACACTACAGTACACTTCTACATTTTACTGTTTTGCATCCTGGGACTTTTTCTTGAATACTGGCACTTCTCACAAGCTGTGTGTACTCTTTTCTGCCCTCTGTATTGGCTCATTTGAGATGTACTGCGTCTCGCCTGGACAGTGGACGAGAGCAGACGATGGGAGCGCGGGGTGGTGACATAAAGCTGCAGTCAGGGCGGACAGTGTAGGAGCGCTCTGCCAGCTACAGTGTGGGAGCCAGAGGGTGTTCGCTCCACCAAAAAGAGACCTGAGCTCTCCCTGAAGTAGCCACAAATGCTTTAAAGTTTACTTGCGCAATTACGATGGAGGTTTTCATTGAGCAGAGGCAACATTAGAGCCCTGAAGAATCATCTAATACCATATTACACACAGACATGTTAGACTTCAAGCACTGTGTATAATGATGACAGTTTTGCCAAATTGTGCAGTTGTTTTGCTATTCTTGCGTAACAGCTACATGACTTAAAACTGTGTGTGTTGTGTGCCAGTCTTCTTCAATTTCCAGAAAAGAATCAATTAAAGTCATCCCTAAGGTTGGGAAAGCTCAGCCACCTGGCTGAGTTGTTGTAGCATCAAACTTAAACTCTTTCATAAAGTGGCAACAGTTTTGTTCTATGTGTAGTCACTTTGCAACAGAGAGGAAAAAGAGTGAACAGTAGACTTTTATGTCTAGGAGTGTCTTTCAGCAAAGTCAGTATGAACAGTATAATCAACTGGCTAATATAAGGAAAGCTATTTGACCTCATCAGTCACTTTTTAATACATACGTTTTACTGTGTTTGTAAGTGCTATAAGTGGGCCTGACCTGGGTTAGTATGTTTGGTTTAGTGTGTGTGTGACTGAGCTGTGTGGACAGCATGAAGTATGGCAGCACTAGAGGGGAGTTGGACAACCATCCCACTAAGTCCAGAACTAGCTGTTTGGGTTGGCAACCCATCGAAGAGCCCTTAAAATCCAAACACTGGAGGGCTGTTCACAGCCCATTACCCCTGTGATTGACAGGGCAGCCCACCACTCATATGACTGCACATGAAGGACATTACTTATTAGTGCCAGGAGTTTGTTGCTGAGGCTGATGATTTAGGCAGCTGATTGATGTAACTATAGCATTTCATAACGTTTGAAAATGGTTGATTTGGAATTCATTTGCTGGTTATTTTTCTTTTCTCTTGCCATGCTTTTTTGTTTCTAGCAGCATTATTCAAAGTGCAGTTTGATAATAATTGTCACTTAGTGCAGGCTCCTATTGTAGCTAAACGTATGGAGCTCAATAGGGCTCTGGATATGAAGCACTGCTCCTGAGTTGAGGTCTTGGTCGGTGGTGAGGTTGTAGTACTCTGAACTGTGGTGAACCTGGTGAGCAGCCCAAAGGATGAAAGAAACCAGTCTTGACTATTGGTAGGATATTGAATAAGAAGCAGCAATCTGTTGTGTCAGAATCACTTTGACCCTTCTATCTGTCCCAACCTCCTTCCTACAAGGCTTTGTGGTGCAGCCATGTTGCACTACTTCCACCTTTGTACCTAACAGATGACAGCCGTAATTCAAAAAGCCACTAGAGTTCCTTGTTAGGTAAAGAACAAAACAATGATGAATGCTGTCATTTTTATTGGGAGAACAGTCCAGTATTATGTGTCATAACTGTTCATCACCTGATTAGTGTGCACTCATCCCTATTATTCCTGAGAACCCTTGTGGCTCACTAGAGGCCAGATGGAAGCGCCGTCCTCAGCGTTTCTGGGAACACGGACTCTGTGGCATTGGTTCTCACCATTAACGGAGCTTCCCTCCTGAATAGGCCCTGCCAAACTATGCAGTGTCCCGCCGTGTCCAGAGATGAGGACTTGGGCTTGCAGTGAAGCCTAGCGGTTCCTACTTCCTATCAATGACAACGAGCATCAATCTTAACCACCCTTAGCCCTGGACCCTGCCAAGCACGACTCCAGTGAGGGGAAAAAAAAGCAAAAGACTCAGGCTGCTGGAATTAAACAAAGGCAGGACAGTTCATCTCTGAATCCCCCACGATTCAGAACGGAAGAAACGTCATAATTTATGTGCTTGACTGCTGCAGAAGCAGTCAGTGTTCTCTCTCCCCTTCTCCCACACTCATACCTTGTTTGTAGACTGTCTGTCAGCTCCGTTGAGAGGTTTGAAATAAAATCCAACCATGGTGCTTCTATCTCGACTCAATCCAAAATACACCATTTAACACTCTGTGTGACACTTTCAAAACCTTTTTTGTGACATATTCTCTCACACCTGTTGATATCCAGCAATCACCCTGTTAAATAAGTGAGGTGTGGAGCTGTAGTTTTCACTTGGACCTCCTCAGGGCTTTCCCAAACGCTGGAGGAATTTCACCCCAGTTTCACTGACTGTGATCATATCTGATCACACAGCACTCACCTTTGCTTCTCAGTCGTGTGTTTGTTCAGGTGGAGCAGACCCTTGATCTGGTGAGTTTTACGACTGCTGGCCTTGATACAGTTCACAAGTTTATTAAACAGTGAAACCGGAGGAGTTTAAGATGTAGCTTTTGAATTTTTGATTTTCTCAAACTAGCAGGGAGTAAGCCCACTCTGGGCAAAGCGGTGTGTATCCATGTGCTGTTGCATCCATGTGTGCTTTAATAAAAATGTTACAACGTTAGGTGCTTTTTAGGGACAGACCAAAATAGTCCACAAGTGTCAGCCCTGTAATAGACTGGCAGCCTGTCCAGGGTGTGCCCTGCTTCTCGCGCAGTATCAGCTGGGATTGGCTTCAGCACCCCTGCAACCCCGTAGAGGATAAGCAATATAGCTAATGGACAAATGGATGAATGGATGGAAAGTTAAGTTGTAATTCTATCAAAAACATGTTCATCTTGGGCAAATCCAGACTAGCTGTTTTTCTTTGTTTTCATTTTTTATGCTAAGCTAAGCAAACCAGCTACTGATTGTAGCCTAATATTTCATTTATACAGAAAACAAATAAGCAAATTTCCCAATTGTTGAGCTAGACCTTAAAAGGAAAGACGCTTGTGATGATAAACCCCTAGAATACTTAGATAAAGTTGTGCCTAATTACAGGGACACTGATTCATGTATGCCATAAGGGATTAAAGCCGAACTGTTATAGTGTTTTATCTAACCAGCCACCTAAATGTGACCAAATTCACTGATCATGAATCATTTTTTTAGTTACCTTGGTTGATAATTGATCCCATAATCAAAAATCCCATCACACATTAAACTTCAATTAACCGGCGCTGCTTTTATTACAAATACATTACTATACAGAGTCTCTATAGGGCTTTGTGGTTCTTGTTCTCACTTATATGGCTACAGAGGCCAGAGTGGATGGGAAGTGCCAAAAAGCACAGGAGACAGGGTGGTCCAGAAGTGACTCGGAGATTCAGTGAAACCTAACAAGCATGCTCCCTTTGGAGGCTAAAATGAAGTGTAACACTGATATGAATGTAGCAAGTATCACAACACAGCAGAAGAACGTAAACTGGAGCACTGGGACATCGGGCAGGACATTAATCAGCTGCAGCTGAATATCCACACTATCAAAATAGCCTGACATCCCCCCCAGTGGCCAGCTAGACTCAGGCCTTAGCTTTTCATCATGGCTGGTCAGGCGAGGGACCGACATGGCTCCTGCTGGGGGATGAAAATGTCTAGTTAATCATCTTGGGAAGAAGCAGAGGTGACTGTTGAGATAAATCACCTGTCCTGGTGATTTAAAATCAACTGAATGTGTGTGAAGGTTCAAGGCCCGTGTGTGACTCGTGTGTGCAAACATGGTTGCTGTTATCTCTGTAACACTCATGTGGATGACAGGACAAGTTCTTATCAGACTTGGACTCCTGGGCTCATGTCTCATGCTGGGTCCATGTGTGTGATTTTCTCCAGAGGTGGCCATCCTTTGGGCTGCTCACCAGGTTCACCACAGTTCAGAGTACTACAACCTCACCACCGCCCTAAGACAGTCCCTCACCCAGCAGTTTACATCATGGGTAAGACCTTCTTTATTGCTCTACTTTTTATTCTCATTGTTATTTTCTATTCCTGTTGCCTTACAACACATCGAGAGCCACTGTACTGGAGTCAGAGTCCTGTATATTCAAACATGCTTGGCAATTAAAGACGATTCTGATTCTGGTACATCTTATTGTAAACGAATCTAGTCAGTTCATGGGAATAATGAATGAATGAATCCTTTTAACCCACAGTGTGATATGCTTTGCCAGTCTGTGCTGCAGAGCTGTTATTGCCCAAAAGCAATTAAAAACACAGCACTTAGAGACATGTATTCTTCATTACAATGAACACAGTCTCCAACAAACGTATCATTTACTCCTGTTTGAGTAGAGCTTGCTAATAACTGCACTGCCCACCTGTGTCAGGAAATTATTTAGGCTTTTTAATAAACTAAACAATAAATTCTTAACCAGTTTACATCTTCAGTAAACTGAAGCAGATTAGAGATGGACTAACATTTTATTCTGTTCATGGAATTTATTAATAATAACAAATACAGTATATACAACATGTCCAGTCACGCCATTTAACAAGACCAGGGTGAATATTCAGTTGCCAACATAACCAACCTTATTGACTAGAAACCACTGGTACGGTTAAATATACTCAGCAGGATGGCCTTATGTAAAGTCACATGAAAGATTGTGTATTAAAAGCAACCTCATAAACTTCCTTTTTGAGGGCAAGATAGAAAAGGTATGAGTTTTTCAAGCTTGTTGCGAGGTCCTAGTGAGGTTGCTGTGAAGATGTCACAGGAGATGTCAGACTGTATTAATTCCTCTGTGCAGATTTTCTACCTGCCCCTGGCTCTGGCTCTGCCTCCATCGATTTTCGCTGTTCACATACAGATAAACCTGCTCTACCAGTTCTGGATCCACACAGAGGTAAATATTAAGTCACAGGTTGTAGATCGAGTCTGGTTGTGAAAAACACTAGCCCCTTTTACACTGCTCTTTCAAAGTGATATTATTGTGCCAATTTTCCACCATATCGTTCAGTGTACAAAGTTTGTGGGTGGAGGTGACCCAAGTTTTGCGACATGCTTCCAGGGGATGTAAAATTTTATGTTGCTCACACAAAATAAAATTTGTGATCAGAATTATTAACATGTTGTACACAATACAAAACAACTTTAGGCCCGAATTGTGTTGTAAATGTGCACATCCCTGCTTTGTTCATCCACCATTGCTGATTTATAATCAACTGGTCTGTTCTGTATTTCTGATGTGTGTGTGACATGCATGATTATATGTCATCGTGTATGCCACATTAAACGTCATGCCTTTAATAACAGGATGCTGACACCTGTGTAAAAAGAACATGGGGCAACATTATGCTGGCTTTTTTAGTTCAGTGTAAATAGGTTTGTTTGTGTCTGTGACTATTTGAATTTGGCAAAATGTCAACACAGTAACTTACACATACTGTATATCTGTATAGTGACGTTTATATGTACAGTACACTGATCAGCCATAACATTATGACCACTGACAGGAGAAGTGAATAACACTGACTATCTGTTACAGTGGCACCTGTCAGTGTGTGGGGTACATTAGGCAGCAAGTGAACATTCAGTCCTTGAAGTTAATTTATTGGAATCAGGAAAAATGGACAGTATAAGTATCTGAGTGACTTTGACAAGGCCCAAGACGGTGAGATGACTGGGTCAGATTGTCTCCCACACTGCAGGTCTTGGTGGGTGTTCTTGGTCTGCAGTGGTTAGTACCTACAACAGTGGTCTAAGGAAGGACAAATGGTGAGCTGGTGACAGGATCACGGACGCCCACGGCTCACTGATGATGAGGTTGATCTACTGTAGATTAAACTTTTAAATTTTATTCATCATTTTCCAAAGATTCCATTTAGTTTGAATCTTTGTTAAAATGGTTGAAAATAAGAAACACTGTACATTGGTCTCTATGAAGAGAAGGAGTCAGGGGCTGTAGTGGTGATATCACACCTAGAGTGGTGAGGCTGTTGGATTGGTCTAAAAATTCTCTCTAACTTGTTCTCATGACCACAGTTTTCACTCCTTCTACTTGCATTTTTAACTGAATGGTTGGCACATTTATGCTCTTCCTGACAGTAAAACTATGGAAACAGACAGATTCACAGAAGATGCACAGTGAGCTGCAGAGTGACACGAGTGCCACACTGACTCCTGTGTACACAGTGTAAGAATATGAATTGTTTTATGTTACAGAGCCAAACACAATCACCCAGCATCACTAAAACAGTATGGATTTACTTGTCATTTCACTGTTGCTGTGCAAAGTCAATCTGTCTGAAAAACCTCTGCAGTTCTCCCTGTGCCCATTTGTCTGCTGAGTGGAGTCGAGCCTTTGTAGACTCAGTGTTCCAGTGGAACCTGTATGCAATAAAAAATGATGAGATTTTAAGAAATATTCAAAACAGAAGCATGACCCCTCTGTCTGCGTCTGAAGTGACTGGGAGTATCACTTTTACAATCCCCTCGATCATTAGAGGGAGTGAAGGGATTTAGAACAGCTTCCATTTTTAGCGCACTATTAGTGAAAACAGTCGTAATAATCGCAGTTTTCTACGGGGATGTAATTTATGCCTGCTTTATGGGCTTTTTTGATGTCATGTAATTTATTGGCACACTAGTCGCTGCAGCTTCCAAACTGGAGTGAAGTGGTGGAGACCCTTTTCATTGAAGATAAAACTCTCACGCTCAGCTGCCAAGCGCAGCCATTACACGGAAATAATGAATCACTGAGAAATCCTGCCCAGCCATGCACTTTTCTCCTGAGAGGTCCTGATGTACTGATGAGAAACATCAGAAATATCTGAGGGTCACGGCAAAAAGAGAAACATGAACTTTGTGAAATGTGTGTGACCTCTGTGCTGGTGCATCTGTTTGCTATCGACGCAAAGAAAATGATTCATGTTACACAGAGAGTACTCATGATGCATTCAAGTACGTGTGTGTTAACACTGCTGATAATGGTTAAAGCCATTAACATCTATTTTTGGCACTTGTTCTATATATCAGTATTTATGAACATATGAAAGTGATATTGACAGATCACTTTTCTGTCAGCTAAATACAATTATTATAGTTTAGCTGTAGCCTTCATACAAGTATCCCGTAATCAATCCAAAAGTTATGTAATCTTTTGGTTGGTCTTTCTGTCCAGACATTTTTGGTTCAGAACAAGATATCTACCGTCTCTGTCTCCAACCCTCCATTCCAACTCGTTTCTGTTTATACAAGAGGTGGGGTGAACTCATCTTGACAAAAATGCTTCCTCTTTTTTCAGCATTTTTGGACAGTCAACACTGACCCACCATTCCGGGACTGTACCATGTACACAGAACAGAGAGGTGGAAAACTCACTGTGTATCTTCTGTGAATCCTTTTGATTCTACTGATGCCATGGCCTTTCTTCCACCACTGTCAGGACAAAGAGAGTTCTGGTTATGTCTGTTGTCTGACCAGATTTCTTGCAGTTTTGAACAGCCACACTGGAAGGCAGGGTGAAAAGGCGGCTGTCGTAGAGAGGACGGAGAAGGGACATGGTTTGAATATAGCAAAAATGGTGCACTTTTTCAGACACTCTCTCCTGGGTGGTATTTATAATGTTTGGTTGTTCACATGCAAAGAGAGAAATAGTTGGTTAAAGAACAACAAAAGAGAAAGAGAGAGAGAGCAAGTCCAAGCCCTGACTTCTGTCTTATCTTATCTGAGCAATCATGGCGTAAAGTGATTTGGTCTCGTCCTCCCATATCTGAGCAGAAAGGTGTTTGGGGGGTTTAATCACCCAGCAAGTGGTACTGAAGTAGTACAGTGGCTGCTTTCGACTTACAGCTTGGTCAGAACTGGTCTAAGGCACTGGTTTCTCTCAGAGGTGGAGCATAACATTGAACAGAGAAGTATCCTGTGCATGAAGTTTCGGTGGCTGACTCATTTCTGTCATCATATCTGAAAATGTGTATTTACTCTAATGTATTGTGTTGTAAGGCTGCCAGAGTTACCAGATATCAGGTGTGCAGAACAGATACTTGAACAGGCTAGAGATTAAATGACTTGTATTGCATTTATATTTTATTACATATATACATACCAGAGAATCATTTTTAAAGCTGGGGACCTTTCAGATACATGATATCCATGTCATCCTGTTTTCATTCAGTTGATCAGAGACCTTGGACCTTTGGAGTGGATCTTCAACACTCCAAAACATCACAGAGTTCATCATGGTGAGACATGAGTATGGCAATTGAATCTTTATATTTCATAATGTTTTACCATGGCTGAGGCATCATATCCATGAAGGGCAGAGACAAACATTTGATCAAGGCTGAGAGGTAGTTAAGTGGTCATGTCTGTTTATGGTTATGTTTTATTTTGTCCAGTCAGTTTTTTGTTGGCACTCTGACCACTCAGACATGGGAAAAAGTCCCACAGGGATAGTAAATGAATGAAAGGGGCATTTGGGTCCAAGATTGTAAGTTGTTTTTTTCTTCTTTAAGAATTCAGATTATTTCTGTGGTAACCTCACTGAGTATTATCTCAACAGGGAGAAACCCTTACTGCCTTGACAAGAATTATGGTGGAATTCTGATCATTTGGGATCGATTATTCGGTAAGAAATAATCAGAGAGTAATCGTTGCTTCTGTTCCTGCTTGTCCTTTTAGCACCACCACTGAGCTATTACTAAACATGACAATTTAAAATATCATTGGAGTAGCCTGTGACAGGTGCGTTTCCACTAGAATACTCTGAAATGTTCATGGTACTTTCTTTTCCCAGGAGCTAAAGTTCAAGAACACCCCCTGGGGTAACAGTCCCTTGACTGCATTGTAATTTGGATTCCCACAGCAGGACTGAATCCCCGGGAAGATTAAACAAATTGCTCACTGATGTAGAAGCACAACAGTCAGCAGCAGGGTTGTAAGAATGCTGTGTGTAACAAGTTGCATGGTATTTGAACAATCAGCGATATTCAACACTGCAGGCCTTGCCCCAGTAGTCCTAGGACATCCAGAAAGTGCAGCCCTCACTAGGGACTTTTTGGGGTGTAAAACTACACCATAGAGCTAAATTTAGATACTGGTTCTTCCGGTGGAAACACAGGTAGAGGAACTACCTTCCACACAAAAGGTTCCTGCTTCCCAAGGATAATTTAGTTGGTAGAAATTGGGCGTACACGACTGTAGATCAGTTAGAGATCAGATTTATGATGCACCAAATACATATTTAAAATTTTGCACTGTAAAATTTCCATGTTTTTATTTACAAGTTGAATTGGCTTAAATTCAGCACATAAAGTGTTCAGTGCATTTATGACTCATGCCTGGGATGTCAAATGGCACTGACAGTAAATTTTACTCCTACATGTCTTCAAATTTTTCACCAAATGTCAATTAGAGCTAACTTAAATTTTGAGGTTTACATTACCCAGAATTCCCTCGGGCCTTTTTTCTGTGGAGATGTTTTATGCACAGAAGCTTCAAACTTCATATTTTACTCAGAAATGTGGAGTTTACATCTTTTCAAAAGTTGAAATTTTGTCTTCTAAAAACAACTGAACAAAATATTGTCAAGTACAGTTTTATTTTTTTTAAGCAGATGTGTTTAAAGCTGCACCAGTTGGTGTGTTGTGATATGTCATAAAAGTTATTGAGCTTGTGAGCAGAAGGCCACAGGCAGAATTAAACCTGAGCGGGACAAGTGAAACATCACTGGGGTACATGTGAGCAAGGCCCTTAACCTTAACTGTTCAAGTCGAGGAGCTCAGGCTGTGTGAGCAGCCTGTTTCTTTAAAAAAGATGTTGCCCTCAGTTAAAGTCTAAAAAATTAAAAAAAAAATGATGTGATGGAAAAGGAGTCCTTAGTAGTGATGAGAATCCCCAGGCATTTTCTTTCAGCTCTACAGAGAGTTTTAGCGTCTTTCAGCTCATTGTTTTGGTTTTCTGGCCCACAATGTTGCTGGTTCATTTCAGTCTCACTGCTCATTAATCTTGTTATCAGCAGCAGTGGCTGTTCTCAGTAAAACACTAAAAAAACCAAGTGCATGCTACCTGCCCAGCACCAAATCACCAGAGCTAGAGCCAGGACTTTCTCACACAACAAAGTAGAGCTGAAAAGAGAGTGAAAAGTGGCAAGAATGGTAACTCTAGCAAATGCTAATGTTAGTATGTAGGCAACTGGTTGCTAACAGGTTTTCTATATCAACTTTATAAACTGGTTATATAACAATGTTGTGACTGTTGTGTTTCCAGCTTGCAGTGATGGCCACATGCATCAATAGAAAGCAATAAATGCAAGTTTAAGGCATTTCATTTATCTTATTTTGTTTATCAGGTGAAAACTAGTAAAAAAAATACGTCCTCCTCAGGTACCTTTGCTCCAGAGACGGACAAAGTGATTTACGGCCTGGTGTTCCCGATCAACACATTTGAAATTGTCTCTGTTCAGGTGAGAACCTTATTCTTCTAGCCAAACAGCAACCTCCGGCGTTGAGAAATGAAGCCAGTCTACAAGTGCCAAAACCTGTAGTTCCTCGAATGACCATTTATGGCTAAGTCGATCCCTATAGACTCCCTTTTTAAAGTGCCCAACTTTACTGCAGAAATAAACATGTTTACAGCCTGGTACAAAAATGTGTTTGGTCTTTACAGCAGATTTTGCCTGTTTAAATTATAGATTTTGCCTGTTTAAATTATATTGAGGCTGATGGTTTTGTATAATTAAGGGTGCGACTGCTTAGAGTGACAGGTGGGAGGGTCCTGCCACACGTGGCTAGCCTCTATCTAGGGAGCTCCACCTGCACTCCACCTCTTTTGGATTAACCGTAGGAGGTGGATTGAAGCACTACCAAGCTGGCAATGACTGGACTTGAGCTTCAAAACCACTCTTCAGAAAACCATCTTTTATATACAGTCAGTGGTTCTACCTGTGGTGTGACTACCACAATCGGGTCATTGGTCAAGCAGCTGACCTCCATCCATCTGAGAATAAACACCTTCAGTAAATGAGCTCACTTTCTCTCGCTGGCTGAGTGGCCATGTTGTAACCATAACATTATTATTCCTCTTTAAACAAACTACCCAGCTGAAGTGAAGGAGGCCAATAAAATGAAATGCCAGGAGGTGGATGTTTGGACTATTTTTGCTGCCCTTGCTGCTGGCAGAGCAAAGCGTGAGCAATGTCCTGCCCAGTGAAAGCAAAAACATTTCTACTCAGGATTAATCACTGCAGCTATTGCTTCATTAACACTGATCAGTTAAATGTAGCGTTTGATTGTACTGTATATGAATGTTTGACTTATGGGTTTTCTTTTTCTCTTGTAGTTACACTACTATTTGGATTTGTGGGAAAGGTCCAACACTTACAAGACTATCAGTGACAAATTGTCAACATTCATCAAAAGTCCAAGTTGGAAACCTGGTAAACCTCGGCTGGGTGATCATGTCGACAAACCTGGGGTTTGTAGAAAAATTGTGTTTCCATCATTCCTGAAGGAAGCATATTTTCACAATGATGCCCTCAGGCTTCATTAGCCATTGTTTTGACACACTCAGAACACAAGCCTCAGTGACTTAGAGCATTTCTTATTGATGGATTCACATATTCTACAAGTTTTACAAGGAACCGCCACATCAAATAAAAGCTGCAAAGCCTTGGTAGAGGGAACACAAAGAGTTCATTTTCATCATCTTTAGACAAAGTTTGCAGGATTGCAACTGCATACAGTTTAAGAGTGTGTGTGTATGTGTCTCTGTGTGTGTGTGCGCATGCAGAAAGAAATACAAGCTCTAGTTGTAGGCTATGCCCCAGCAATTAGCTTTGAAATAATGCTGATGGTTTTGCGTAATTAGTTTGCTTATGCTTCAGAGGTAAAAAAAAAAAATCCCTTTTGCCTTTATGATTAAATTTGCCCCTTAAACCCAGCTGGGTGTGAAATTTAACTGACATATCTTGAAAGGCTTTGTGTAGACGGCTGCTTATTGATATCTGGTGGTGAGAAAGGAAGTGAAGAGAAGGGAGTGTAGGAGGAGGCTGACTGTGTTTCAGCTCTTTGAGAATAAGCAGAGCATCATGCTGGAATACTGATAGGCTAGGGGATGGGATGTGGAGGGAACCCATGTACAGTCTAGTTCCTCACGATCCTGGGAAACCCCCTGAATGAGAGGCAGACGTATATGATTGGCCAGTGTTTTTGTGCTCCATCCCCAAGAGAAGGCACCGTTTCAACGTAAAGCCCTCAGGCCTAATCACTTATTCTTTGGACACAGCAGCAGACAAAACCAGGTCAAATGACTCAGGGAATTCTTACAGAAGGACTCATATGTTCCCCAGGTTTTTGAGGATAACTGCTATGACCAATAAATCCTGGATGACTTTGTAGATGGAACGCAAAAGCTAATTTTCACCAGTTTTAAAATTCAGCCTGTAGAAAACTAAAGGAACATAAGACCTTTTTGACAGAAAATGCATACAGTAAGAGGTGGAACGGATCTGAGAAGTGTAGAGGGTCATAAAACAAAATTGAACCTGTTTTTCCTCAGTGAACCTTTATTAGTTGAATTTGATTTTTAAGGGCTTCACCATGAAAATTAATGAAAATTGTTGTTTTCTGTTGTTCCTTTCATTTCCTTTCACATTACTTCTGAAGGTAAGGTATTATAAACCCATGCAGGGTGGGTAGCTGTAGGTGTATGGCACTTAATGATGCTCATTCATGTAATCATTCAATAACATCTACTTCCTGCTGTGAAAGTCAAAAATGTCAGGAAGAGAAAAGACAGGAATTTGATATAATACTCAAAACTGATTTTCTGGACACACAGTATATTCAGCTTATACCAGGAGACACAAGGATGTGGAATTCTAATTTGGACAATGTGTTGTATTGTAATGTTTTTAATGTGCTTAGCAGGCTTGACAATGCACAAAACACATTGTTCTTTATATGTATTTACACTTGTCAGGTCACTTGTCATTCCACAGCCATAAATATGAAGTTACACTTGAGTCAATTGCTGCTGTCTTGTGTTTTAACAACGCGTGCCCTCTGGTGTGAGAATGTGTCCAGAAAATTACTCTACTTAAAAAAAAATTAGGGATTGGGGAATTACATGCTTCATTTTTCTCATGCAGGTTACTGGAGAAGAAGTGCGTCTTGATTCCAGCTGGTCGCTGCCTTTACAAGTTTATGTGGTTATACATTTCCTGCTGGTGCTGTGGACCTACCATGATTTGTTTGAAAACAAGATGGTAGGTATATGTCACATTAGGAAAACTGTACAATTCAGGTTTCTTTTTTTATTCGATTTTTCGGCCTTGAAAGATTGGTGATCTTTTGGTTGTACATGGCTACTGTTATGTTTAGGCTGCTGTAATCCCTCATGTAAAGTATGACAAGGTGGTCCAGGGTTCTTAATTTAAGACTGCCTTGTGTGTTTGTTTGTCATCATTATTTCCCCCAATTATGCAGTTTGTTGCGCCTGGTCCATGGGTAGAGCAGAGTCCTTTACTTAGGCAGCAGGAAAAGACCCGCTCAGTCTAGCATCGTGACAGAATGACTGATCGACATTCCTCTTTAAAACAACCTTTGTCTACTATTTTCCACTCTGCAAGCCAAAAGACCCCCTTCCTCTTTCTTTAGAAAAAAAAAGAACCAGGTCTTCTCAGCAGTTATCTTTGGAAGGCCTTTTTCCCTAGGCATAGTTTTGGTTAGCCAGAAAGTGCTGTCACGCCCAGCCTCTTCAAACTCCCAAATAAAATAGTCTGTTTTTTTGTGATTGCTACCTCCATGGTGCTCCTTCAGTTGTGGTCCCCACACACACACACACCCCTCCCGTCCGGGCTCGAGGTTTGCTCTCCCTCCCGGTGAATGAAACACCAGCTGGTGGTCTAGCAGTGAACACAAACGCCTTGATTGTCGAGTCAACCATTTCCCAACCCAAACAGGCTTCAGGATGCCGCAATCAGGACTTGGAGAGAAAATAACAAAGTGAGCACTCTGGCCCAACAATAAATCATGTCACTCTTATGTATTTATACCTACATGTTTGCTAGCTGCTTATTTAGCTTGACAATTGATGATGCATTGGTGGACAATTTATAGGCTTTGTGTTAATTCAGAGCCATGAAAACATGATGAAGCTACTGTTCAGTTATCATCAGCGGTGCGCTTTATCATAGGGTTCCTAAACAGATGCTATTAAAAGCAGTGAAGGAAACTGACCAAGTGAAGCCTCTCATGTCAGAATAGATCTCCATTAGTAGCTTCGTGGTTGCACAGTCCCAACACTGTTGTCTGACATATGTAAAATGCTGCAGAGCAACAACAATTCCAAATATTTGACATGTATCATAATGTATATCTGTGTCACTTATGACCAGTCGCTACTGATGTGCAGTATTGTGTCAGTGGTGTTTCTGTCTAACTACCTTTCATGAAAATCATCATAGCTGCAGTAATGCCCTGAGTAATGTGTTAATTTGCTTCATCTCAGGGGACAGCAGAATAACACAATCAGGCCACCGCTTACGGCACAGCGCTGTCACCAGATGTTAGCTTTCACTTCTGTCGCCTGCTGTTATTGCTGCAGGTTGACACATGATCACATTAAAAATTAGCACAATGAAAGAAGCACAAAACATTTCCCTCTGTGTCGTTTAAGTAGTGCTGATAATATGACTCCACCTGATGACACTGAGGAATCTGTGGAGGGTTTTCTCTCAAGCGTGACATCTAGGTTTTCGCCCACAGGGGATCGATAGTCAAACAGAAGAAAGATCATGTGACCAAATACGTCTGGTCTGCTGAGCCCTCTGGGCTTTTAGGTTCACATAACCTTTGATACTACAATAATTTTCCGCTCATTACACCTCTTACTAAAAATAACTATCTGTGGCCTTTGAACGCTAATGAAAAGGTCATTCTGCTTTAATAAACGATGACAGTCTGAGGTGACTTGTGTTACTTCAGTATGACAGAGAGACTAAGCTACAAGTTCCTGCATTTGATTCACAGAAAACATAATCACAATATCCCTCCATGTTCCCATATTACGCCTCAGCCAATATAGTTCTTATGGGGGCTTATGGATTATGACTCTTAGATAAATATAAAGAATTATTGTTTTAGTGCATCCTGTTGATAGGTTGACTATGTTTACTGTATATGGCCTTCTGGGTCTGTACAGTATGGGAGCAGTCACTGAGATTTGGCTGTTAGTCTCTGTATTGAGTGTCAGAGAAATATAAACCTAAGCTGACAGCCCACGACATCCTCAGGAGGTTCTGTGCTTCCAGCTGCTGCCCTCAGCCAAGGCTGTAGGTTTAAAAACACAAATTAAAACGTACATCACGTCCTGTACTTTGTGTGTCTGTACAGCTCTGCTTGTGTGTGCGTCCCAAATAGCTGGGAAAAGGTCGGTGAGAATTTGCATGGGGTTTTTGCTCCAGTATTGGTTGTATTGGCACCATTTAGGAGCTGCTGGAATTCAAATTGCAGTCCTTTCAAATGCAGTCAGGCCTCCTGTCAAGGCCTATCTGGGCTGATTATAGCATCTCAGTGTAAAGTAAGAGGCAGAGTGTTTGCAGCAGGATATTGTATGTTCCAGTACACTGTTTCCGAAGGTCAGACATGGGTTTTGACTGGTCTCCCAGTGAGGTCTCCTGTGATTATAACATAACCAGTCATGGTATTGATTTAAGCTTTAGATTCAAATGTGTTTTTTCCCCAACAGCATTTGTCATGGCATGCAAACATATCTCACTCCTAGATACTGTCCCAGTTAGCCATTCTGGGGTTGATCGGCTACATTCTGCTCACCCTCACCTCCCTGGGCTTCATCATTGACCAGAGGTACGGTACTCACGTTTGTTTGTTAATCCTTAAGTTTAATATGTATTAGAAGCGCTTGTGTTAGACAGAGTTCACTAAGAATCAAGAGAGTAGGCCCTGGTTATTTGTGTCAGTGGTTCCCAAACTGGAGGTTGAAACCCTCCAGGGTGTCATGAGATAGATCTGCAGGGTCTTGAGATAGTTTGCAAGGTATTAAAGGTGATAAACAAAATTCTGGTAATAGCGCTGCAATTCTCAGCTAACTGACAGAAAATTTGTCATTGTATCATCATCAAGTACAAATGCTAAATATTTGCTGCTTTTAGCTTCTCAGATTTGCTACTTCGGCCTGTTATTTTTCATTGTAAATATAAGGGCTATTTTTCAGTCTTGAGGCTTTTTGCAGATAGAGGATATTCAATTTACTAAAGTCAAACAAGGATAAAGAAAAAGTAAATTCTCACATTTGAGAAGCTGGAGCCATCAAATAATTGGCACATGTCAGCTTCTTGTTGAAAAGATTTTTGTTTAATTTATGTGAGCTTTGTGTTTTATCAGGATACAAATCATGTGCTTTGCCTGAAGACTATATCCAGGGTTCAGTCAATTATGGAATCTCCAGCTCCGACCTCTGCAACACCCAAAACGCTCCTGGTAACATACACACTCTGTTGTCTGATGATATTTAGGTCCATAGACAGCTGTAGTTACATGTGTCACAACTAGTTAACCTGCACGACTGCCTTACAGTTAATGATGGTTGCATTTGCCACGTTTCAGTTGTCAAAATAATATGTGTTTAGAATAACCCAAGTCTGATTTTACTGACTAAAATGTTTACTAAAGAAGACCAGGACAGCATTCACATCCCATAGGAGTGCATGTGTGTGTGTCTGGTTGTTCGTCTATGTGTTAGCCCTGCGATGGATTGGAGACCTGTCCAGGGTGTACCCCGCCTTCGGCCGGGATTGGCTCCGGTCCCCTCCGTGACCCCGTTCAGGGACTAAGCGGTAGAAAATGAATGAATGAATGATCATCAAAGCTGTTGCTGAATACTTGATGTTGTTAATCCGCTAACTGATTAACTGACTAATTCTTAACCAGTTATTTGATCAAACAACAGATTAATCAGTTATCAAACTTGAATTTTTGGTGCAAACAGATTCGTCAAATTATTTAATTTACTGTAAAATTATATTAGTACTATTGAATGATTTGCCAGTTAGTGGATGTATTCATTATTTAATTATTATAGTCTGATATGAAGGGAACTGGTGTCTGTGAGTTAAATACTGACTTGCTGCCATTACAAGAGCTTATCCTGTTCTCGAAAGAGCTTTTCTTTATTTTCCTTTGTCATTTGACTTCCCAAATAGGACTCAGTGTAAATCTAATGAGTTGAGTTAGTAAACACCTTCCCTTTGTCACATGAAACTCAGCTGGTGAAACTCAGAAATAGAGATGAAAACATTGGGTGATTAACTTTTAAGTAAACATGCAATGTTGTAGTGAAAAGGGGATTCATGTATTATTAAAATAACCTTTTCATATCTGAATTAGGCCTAAATCCGTTGACTGTCTCTTGCTGTGGTCTCACACAGTATCTACCAAGTAGCACTGGAACTTACCATCACCATGACTCCTGAACAACGCCAAACGGTCAAATCTGTCAATAAGGTGAAAGCTGAAATGTCGTTGAGCCTCAGCGTTGTGTTTGGTTAATGTGTTCTCATTTTCAGGCCCATGGCAGCTGTCTTGGAGATGCTTCGCTGTGTCGTCATGGTGACAATGCAGAGGTACAGCTACATGAAACCCCCGTCTCTGTCACTGGCTGTGCCCACAGAGGTAAGATGACCTGCTGGTTAGTTTGTAGTTCATTCATACACAAATAAATGAACTGAGCTCACATGTAGCAACATATCACATTAGTGTTATATGTAATGTTACTCTAAAAGTGTTTGACCTGACATTTAAAAACACATTATTCACTGATAACATCTACATGTTTGCCCACTTAAATAAATACATCTAGTTATGTGATCTGACATGAGTATGACTGCTTTGATGATATCTGACTAATCACACTTTAAAAAAATAAATCACAGTTTTATCATTTCACTCTTATAAACACAGTTGGACTCAAAATGGACAGAAAAAAAGTATAAAAATCAGTGCCCCAGAACCTGAGATACCATCTTTTGTATTCCACATATTATTATTCATGCATTCATTCATTTTCTACCGCTTAGTCCCTGAACGGGGTCACGGGGGGGCCGGAGCCAATCCCGGCCAGCAATCGGGCGAAGGCAGGGTACACCCTGGACAGGTCCCACATATTATTATTCTTTGTCAAAACCTGGTGCCTACATTACCCACAATGCGACTTGACCCCCAATACTTTTCAATGGTGTTACACTTGTAACAGTAAATGTATCCTGAGTACGGTCGTCTCTAGCAGAGAGGAGAAGCGGATGGCAGAGGTCTGAAAAGCTCACTTCTTGATAATTTCACATCCCTTAATTTTTTTTGCTTTTTCAATCTTGTAGTCTTCAGATCAACATTTATCAGACTTTACGCAGCTCCCTCTAGAGCAACAAAAGGCTTTAAACAACTTCCTTCATGTATGTAAAACTACTCTCTGTTTATTGGTGGCTGTGGCTCAGGAGGTAGAGCGATCGTCCCCCAGCTGGCAGCTCGGTGGTTCCCTTCCTGTTCTCCCCAGTCCACATGTCAAATGGCTAGAGCAGCGCCTTGCAGGGACCACTGATGTGTGTGCGCGAGTTGGTGCTGCAGATGGCTGCCTCGGTTCTGTACCGGAGACAAACTCCTTTTGTGTGTAACATACTAGGCCAATAAAAGTGATTATTATTATATCTGCCAGTTGCTGTTCATACAGTATATGTTTATTTGACAACTACTCATTTAGCTGCGAGCTCCCAATCTGAAAATGATACTTTCATAGTTACACATTTAGATCCAAGAGGTACTGTACTGAACTGACTGTACTGTTGTAATGGTGGATGCTGTGTAGCTTGTAGTGCAGTACTTATAGGACTTACTTTTATCTCAGAGGAAATTGTTGAGCATTATTACTCTTTGATCAGATTTTCCAGCTAGCCTCAGATGCACATTAGCAAGTTTATAACCACAGTGTGTGTGTGTGTGTGTGTGTGCGTGTGATTAGGTAGATCATTTACTGTTAAAGACTCACCATTCTGTTGGCATTTTCAACCATAAAATCTGACTTTCCTTTATGTTTTCAAATATCAAAACTTTACAGATTTTTTCTACTAGACAGCAGCCGGGAGCTGAATATTATAGTTTGGCCAGCTCGTGGAATTAGCTGCATTTGGCTGTTATTTCAGCTGGGGACACTGACGGTCGCCAGCTAAAACAAAAGGCAAGTTTTCTTGAGGTAGTCATATGAGCACAGATGAGAAAAATGTCAGCAGTATGATCATTAAAATGGACACTGTGGCCATGACTCTAATATTTTATAAAAACACAGACAGAATTTAGCATTTCACTAAACATTCCTACCTCAGGTTTCATTTAGTAGCCGTTCTAGACCTTTTGAACAGCCCATGATCTTTATCAGCGCATGGAGCTTGGTCATAAATTATTAGATGTCATGTAATTATAGATGCTCAGGTTTTCCTTTTTTAATTTGAGCACTTCTGGCCCTTTAGGGAAACAGCATTTTCAAAACAATCTCACCTCAGTCTATTTAGTTTCTGTGCTGGAGCTTTCACTCATATCGCATTATCTTTTTTTTAAGTAGACTTAATCTTTCTCTTCCTTTCCAGATTTTAGCTGACATGTACAACTATCCAATGATCATTTTGATCTTTCAAAACTGTGTATATGAGAATCGTCATATGAGTCCATGTCAGCATCATGTTTCTTTTGTGTGTGCGTGTTGCCAGTTTGTGTGTTGTGTGGTCTGCTTTGTGTGTGTGAAACTGTGTGAGCTGGGTGCTAAGTCCAACCCCGCAGTCCTGTGATCTGTGGGTCCAGATGCATTGCCCAGTTGACTATAAAATTGGCGTGCCTTTCTGGCTCTGGCAGCCCCTGTCGTAGATGGTAGCTGACCTCTCATTACGTTCCCTGCCTCCCTCTCTCTGCCTGCCCCTGCTGTTTGCCATCTCAGCCAGTGTGAACGAGAGCAACGCTTCTGGAACCAATTAGTGCCGACTGTCGCTAACTAGTGCTGGCTGATGAGATTTGCACGTGAGCACTGAATCGCTATTTTTTTATTGGCCCCTGACTCCACATCTGCACTGGTCAGGTGTTCAAAAGACAACTTGAGGCTTTCCCACCTTTTCATTTTCTCACTATAAAATGCAATAACAGTGAATGAATTATAATTTTTAAAACCACTTCTAAAAAGAAGTGCATATCCAGTCAGCTTCAGATCAAAAAATGTCTTGATTTATGCTGCAAGGCGGCGCCAGTTTCAAGCAGCCATTTCTTTAAGCAAATCATTAGGCCTCATTTCAAGTCGCAGTACATCAGGTTGAGCTGAATGAATGACTTGCTTCCAGGTGGGGCTCATTGAAAATTTTCACAATTTAACTGAAATGGATCCTGATACGTTTGTGCTCTTTGCTCAGAACTACAGCAAAGGGAGAAAACCACCCCCAAACTTTAAGGTACTTTAATGATATACAGGTCTGATGTGTGAGACCAGCTCTTGGGTGCTGGAGTGGGGGCGTGTTTTGAAGTCAGGCCAGTTAATTAATAGTCGCACATAAAAGAGGAGGGGAAATTCACATTTAATTGTATTCAGGCCCATGCAACTGCAAACTAGGTCAGTTTGTGGTCCTTCAAACCCTGTGGTGTGATATACTGCACCCTTAAAGCTCACAGTGGTATTTATAGTGGTTCTGGAGATTTCCCTTGTAAAGCTGCAGGCCTGACCTGTAAACCATGGCTGCCTCTCGCTCCCAGCCGGCCATGCACCCACCCAACCCTGCAGCTGTGCAGCTCACACGAAGGCTTGGCTGCCTTAGACAAGACGGGGTTGGGAAGCTTGTGTGTGAATGAGCAGGACTCCTAAGAGCAAGGCACAGGTTGTGCGAGGTTATAGCTGTCTGTGCAAATAGAGTTATGTTTGTGTGTGTGTGTGTCTGCTGTCAGTCAATATGAGCATCTGTATGTGTGTAGAGGTGTGGAAGTTGTGTCTCAGTCTCCTTTTGTAACCTCACACCGGCCATCATGGAGAACTGGATGCACACAAATATAACCCAACCAATATTAGATTGTTATCGGAGATAGAGTACTGTACAGGATATGTACCAAGGAGGACATTTTACAGTTGAAAAATAAATGTCAAACTATGTCGTGGTAACACTGTCTCCAATTGACCGCAAACAGTTCTGGACTGCATATATTATTTATTGGTCACAATAAATGTCTGACAGTAAGCCACAAATAACAGCTGATTATATGGCAGCTGGGAGAGAAATGATTAACCAGTAAAGACTGTTGTGATATGGCTGGCTAATTACTTACATTTGTACTTAAGGTATGTGATACTATGAGTGTGACTGGAATATGTTAAACTGCAAGGCTTTAGATTTGCTTGGCTGTAGACTCCTTTAATAAAATGATTATTTATAGTAAGGAGTTTACGGGGTACATGCTTGATTGCCTGTTCAGCTGTGTAATCATTACAGTTAGCAACTTTTCAGACCTTCATAACAATGTAATTTCACACATAGTGAGCCTGTCACTGTCCACTGAGACCAAGGGAGCAAATATTATGCTAATCAACTTGACATCATTTGGCAGTTTCTAGTGCTAATGGCCAAGATATAGTTAGTACCTGAAAGCAGTTTTAGCTTCAAACTAATTAGCTCGTTTGACCAGAACCTAGTTTTCCCTTTGAATTTTTTTATTTAGCCTGCAGACTAAGCTAACACATGCCTACTTGTCTTACCAGGCTTCTTTTATAGCATGGTGCTAGTGTACTCAGCAGACAGGATAAGGACTGAACTTATAGTCTTTTGTTTGTAATTAATTGTTTGGCCTGTTAAATAAGTGTGTTAAATGTTTTGTGACCTCTTTAAATGTTTTGTCCGAGCTACAGCTACAACCCAAGGATATTTAGTTTACAGTAATATACAACTATGAGTACACTGTTACATTTCAGAAGCTAGAATCAACAAATATTTGGTATTCCTGCTTGAAAAAGGACTTAATATGGTCAGCCTTCATTCAGCAGTCGACTGCTGTATTTTTATTTGAACTATATGAAAGTCTTTTATCATTTGTTATGTTTTGAATTTGTAAGCAGACGTGTCTGGAAATTGGCGTTACAGTTCTGCGAAATGAGCTTTCTGTGCATTTTAGGTGGAGAAAGAAGACTTTAAGGAAAAAACAGCAGTGCAGCTGTCGTCAGGTTCAATCGGGTTCACATGTTGGCCCTGAGGCTGTGTCATAATCTGGATGACTGTTGTGTTTTGCCCATGAATTAAAGCACAAATAGGAAGACACATTCAGAAGAAAGTCAACTTTGTCCATGAAATCTAACTCCACAAAACCCAAACTAAATACTGCAAGAAAATTCCCCAAGGGGCCAGTTGCTGTTAGATTTCCATAGCTTTACCTGGCAAGTGGTTTGACAACATAAACCAAGCGGTTTCTCTTTGACGGGCACAATCCCCTGCACACTGAGTGATAATATTTCACACTGTGTACAGCCGACCACCCTGCTGTTTACTCCAACGGAACAGTCCTACCCAGCATTTCTTTTTCAAATCCCTCCATTTTCTCTCTGGGAGGAGATTTCCTTTCCTTTCCATTCCCGCGAGCTCTCAGATGATGTCATGCTCACCAAGTTT